TTCCGTCAAATTCTAGCTCGATTTTAATCCCGTCTCTCCTGTTTGTCGAACAGTGTTGGCCTACTTACTCATGGTCAAAAAGTAAAATGCAAGACATAAATTAATGAAATAAAATTACTCCTACAGGACAGATTTTAAAAAATTAATGTTTGAGGCATTTTTTTCGTGTTTTGCGTTTTGCTTTTCTTAATCATAATGCATTGTCAGGAGAGACCATCGATATGGGCGATTTCGCAAAAGTAATTTTTAGAATTAGAACTGAAGGGAATCAGCAAAAATTGGTAACATTTTAGTGCTCAATCTCCCGGTTCAAAAGCTTACAGTTCACTAGAGGAAAGTTAAGGTTTCGACTTTTCAGTTTCGAGCGTTTTTGAGTCGCAAGTGCAGAGCATTAATGTGGAAGAATGACCAGCCAAAATCGCCCGGTTCTATTAGCTTAAAGCAACGGAAGTAATTAAATTTTCCAGAAATGCATCTCATCATGGTTTTGTTAAGCCGGAAAACTTTGACAAAATGTATTTAGCCCTTATTTTCACACAGTAGTTATGTGAGTGTTTCATCAAGCAATGTTTTCAATGGAACAGGCAAATGACAGTTTCACAGTTTTCCAAAATTCGCATTTTTTTCCGTAAATAATTACTGAATTTTTGAGTTTTGCCAATTTGCCAGAGTCGAGCAAAGTTCACAAATCGTTCAATTTTCGTTCTGCAAATCGTTCAATCGTTGTATTTGATTTGAGGCAATTATTAAATTTATTTGATACATTATTAAATTACAGCAGATATTAAACGCATTTTAACAAATTATGACAAAATAGTACTGGCATTTTTGAGATGTATTTAAAATTGTTCGGATTATTATAATGAACTATTTAGAGACATGGATGTGGGCGGTTTAAAAAAAAACCTGCGAGTCGGCACATAAAATCAACAAAAAATTGTTAAAAAATCATCACCGACGTTGGCAACTTACTTGTTTAAGTAATTTTTGATTGCCACGAGATGTTTGTGATTCACTTGAGGAAAGTGTAACATTGGCATTCAGTTTTGAATTGGAGGCGTTTTTCCTTTGCAAGTGCAGCGCATTAACATGGAAGAACCCGGCCAACCTCAGCCACCTGGTCCTATTAGATCAAATCAACGCAAATAATCCAATTTTCCAACAGTTTACATATTTTATCAAATAATCCCGCCTGGGTAGTAGTTTCTTTCATTGGTATTATTGATGGACAACGTGTGCACTTGACCTTAAACCATCTCTATTAAGTTTTCATATCTGGTCAAAATGGGTTTAGTAAGCTGAGAACCTTTGTCGCAATGCCCAAGCGTTTATGCATCAGTTGGCGGGCATCAAAGGGCAACAAAGTTTTTGGTAGTTTTGTGCTTGCTTAAGTATCTGGAACTTATGGAATTTATCTTGACAGCATCAATAGGGCATTGGAAAAATTGAGGTAAATCATTGGGCTTCAGTAATATGAGCCGTTGAACCGAAGGTCAGTTTTAGTTATTATTATTGGTGATTAATCGTTTGCTGTCTAAAAATCGGAACGTTTCTTAAACACTTCCATAACATACTGTGGACCACCATGCGAAGGGCGTAGAGCCTTGTTCAAATTTCTATTCATCCACCATTACAAAAAAGAATGTTCCACGTGCTAAATCTAGGTCTGCTAAGTCTACCTTTATAACAGTAAACATTACCACCTATAGTTGCTCTCTTTTAAAATGAAATTTTCGGGCTCAGATATAGGTACTTTAAAAAATTTGAGTGACAAGTTCTCAGAACCCATCTGTCTACAAAACCAAAAGCTCACATTAAATATAAAATTAACCTGTACTTTCTCTTTTTTGCCCATTTCTTTAGTTACAATTTCGACCATTCACACCCAGCTGGTTAAAGTTTCTGAGAGAATGAGAGTTTCTAGAGAATAATCCTTTGGAAGCCGGCTGGCAAGCTAAAGCTGGAATTGCAACGTTACACGTAGGCCCTAAAAGCCCATGTACACACACAAGCCATCTGAACAATTTGGCTTGCACAAGCCAGATCTGAGCAAATAAACTGAGTAAATAGGCCTTACTGGATCATCTTTTGGCTTTCGAGCCGAGTCTGTTTATGCATATTTTTGCGAGTAACGAACCAATGTTGTCTTCCACTTGTCTCTCCAATTTTAGCGTTGAAATCGCTTAGGATCATCGTGTGTTTTTCTCGCCCCAAGCTCTTAGCAGTCGAGTCGAAACTGGTCTCATCAGACCGAAAACCTTAACGGAATTGACTATTCGCACGATCTATAAACATTTAGATGAACCGACTAGGAGAGCACTTTATAGAACATCGCCACTTCAATCCTGCCAAGTCTAAAGAGCTTCTTGATGTCTTTGCTTTGTAGATCAGTTTACTTTTCCCCCATAAAGAAATAAATTCGAGATCTTCTCAGTACCAAATTCTTTCCTTGTTAAGCTCCGGCATGAATCGAACAACCGCCGATGGAACTAGTTCCGAATCACCATTACCATTTTTTCGTTATTAATTAACACCATTATCATTGATTTTAGTAGCCGTACACAATCGCGTCCATTCAATATTGATTTCTTGTTGTGCAGGAGAATGACTAACGACAATCGGCAGAGTGTGAAAGGAACAACAGTGTTGACTGCGCCGAAAAGGACCAAAATCACGCCGTAGCTAATCTAATCAAGCAAGTCATCCCTTTGTAGCGGCGAAGGCGCTTAAGACCACCTGGTACGTTTTATAGATGATCTTTTTAGTTAAATCTCTGGGATTCATTCACTAAAGTTGGGGGCGGCTGCAGCCGCAAACTTTGCAAAAGGACCATTTTATTTTGCTTTTGGCTCGTTGTTAGTCTTCGGAAGTTCCACTGAAGTGTGCTTGTTTCAATTGAAAACTGCAATTATTTTTTTTATCATCAGAATGTTTTCTTTCTCGTGAGTAAACGTGTGGCCTAATTTTTAGCGGTCCGGAGCCTAAAGTTATGGCGAAAAACAAACCGGGGACCAAAAACGCCGTCATTCTGGTTGCAACCGACAAGACGAAACGGTAACAAGAGTGAGTTTTCGGTGAAAAACACTCAAGAACTAAATGTAAAAATATGAAGCATCCAGAGAAGTTTTCACTTTCAGTAAAATCAAACCTATTTTCGATCCATTTGTGTGGGTACCATTTTTTGGCCAACGTCGTTGAATTCACCATTTTTCAAGCCTTGCCACATTGCCACTTGAGTGGAGTCCTCAAAAGCTTTTTGCCCTAAGTTTTCACTTTTCTTTGGGCATTATTGCGATAAGTATTTCAAAAGTTTCTACTAGGAAGAGACCAGTTAAAACATCGGCCGTTGTTTGAGGTCTAAGTGCAAAGTGGTAATTTTACAAGCACTTATATCCCCGATCTTACAAAAAACCTGGAATTGTTTATGCAAACTTCGAAAGTTCACCTCTAAAATCATTTTTTGCAGCCCAAACCGGACTTGGAACCTTTATCTAAAGTCACGATTAAAGTATGCCTTAAATGCCTGGGTATTGCGAATTTCTTGGAAATGTTAAGAAACAGCAAATTTCTCAAAATCGCATTTTGAGTCCTCAATAACAATCACCGTAGTTTTTCCTTACTGAAACTTCCGCCTGATAAGAACATTCAGCACAAATCTGGTTCTTCTGGGAAAACTTTCAGACCTTCTAAAGCGAAGGCCATTGAATCCGTAGCTCCACCGTACTTTTTTTAGGTTTGAAAGTTTACAAATTCTTAAATTTTGTAACGTTTGGCAATGGTGCACATGATTCGGGCGCTGGAACCTGGACCGAAAAAAGGTAAAAAATCGCATATAAAAGACAATACGAGAAGCGAAGGAAGATTTTCGAACACTATTGTACAGGAAACTCCTGCCTGGATCACCTAAAATCCACAAAACTCTCAAAAATCTGCACTTACTTATACCTACACATTTTCATATGCCACAGCCATTCTCTATCACATGAACTTTCATTCTACCATCACTTTTTTCTTCGTAAGAACCAAATCGCTAAAAGATGCTGATAATGTTATGCGTTTAATTCGTGCAAGTTTTGATTTTTATTGTACATTTTTAATTTTTGCTGTCAGCAATTTTGTCTGGGCGTTTTTGGCAAAACAAGAAATTATTTCAGCAATTTTTGGTTCAACTCTTCAAATTCAAGCACTTTTTCACTGTTAAACCAGCTCAAACAATCTCTTGACTTTGATGACTCCGCAAGGCTGAGGACTGAGCTGTTTTGACCCTTCGCGTTAATGAATTAACATTACTCGACGTTCTTCACATGCAAATAATTCGCATTTTGCCTCAACGTGGTGAACGTCTTCCCAACTTTGACATGTAGTTTCAACTAAACCGCGAGTGTAAAGAACGCCGATGTTGAATCGTATCAATAACTGATTGATTAAGATGGATATCACCAGATCGATCGGTTCGTTAGGCCAACAATGCGCCAAGGTGTTGTAAGCTGTGCAAGCGCTAATGGTGTCTCTTTCAATGGTTATTATTTCTCATTTTTTTACACGATTTATCAGAGGCGCACCTGTAAACCGTCTCAAATGATCAATTCTAGTGAAATCAGTTTGGTGCAACATTTGTTTGAAAAGTTCTGCAAAAATCTAGGAGACAAATCTGGAAGCGTTGGAGGCCAAGTTCCTAGTGCACTTTGTTCTATGGAATTCGTTATCGAAACTAATGAAGAAGAATGACTTGAAGTACCACCACTGAAGCGTATGGATACCCAATACATATTTAAACTCTTCCATACAGGGTATTGATTTTACGTGACCCAACACGGGTCAAAAATACCCGTAAATCAAGCGCTGTTTCTTGTATGTTGAAGCCGACAAACCTTGCTTCATTAATCATATGACGCGAAAGTAACAGCGCGAAGAAATATTAGCTTAATTTATTATTTGTATTTAAATGGTTCCTTTCTGTTCTTTTGTGGACTGATGAAGAGCGAAAAATTGCCCAGCATCTATTCCGCATTGGTTCCTAGTTCATGTTGTTCAACACATGCCACATCTAGTTGGCATTAAAAGACAGTATGCAAAATACGGTTCTGTAAACGAGAACCCGTGCCACGAAATATCGTATTCTCTTACCACGAAGTAACAGATTGTATTTCATTCTTTAGCCTACCTTTACAATGGCCATTTTGCTTGCCGGCTCTTTTCTTGTTGAAATATATTGAAAATCGCGTCGCAATTTAGTTTTGTTTATTGTTTTATTTATTATATCCCCTTGTGTTCCTGCTGTCTATGGAAAGGAGTTATGCTGTCTTTATGTCCTGCACGCTTTAACAACGAGTGTGTGCTTAAATCGGTATTTTAGAGCTCTTTCCTAGAACATAAACAATTATTTTGCACAAAACCCATATAATGGCTCATAACAATTCAAATAAATATTTGAATGGCCTGAAACATGCACGGGAATTTATAATTTCAGTTTTTTGCCAACAAAAAGCCAACTACTTTGAGAACTTTAAGCAGCCGTTGATTCACTGAAGTGTGCATTTAAGCGGAAAAACTGAAGAAGGATTTTTGTTCCCAATTGAATGAGGAACCGAAAAATAATTTTGATTTGCCGAAAAGGGAAAAAGAAATAAATATTTTTTCCAACAACAGAGCGGATTTTATTTTTTTTTTACTTAAAAACTGTGAATTTCACCGAAAACACTCGTAGTAGAAAAGTAAAATTTTTCCGACAATCCGCCGGCTTAAAGTTGCGGATTTTCTGTGACAATCTGAGAAATTTATTTTTTTTATCAAAACATGTCCATTTAAACGAGAAAATCCAGGAACTTTTTTGCTCAAATGATTGCAGAACTGAAAAACAATTTTTGTTAGCCGAAATTGCTCCGACGTACTCGGCTTTCTTTCCTAGAATGTTAAATTTTCACCGACAATCAGCCGGATTTTAATTTTTCACTCAAAAAGTGAGCATTTTAGAAAAAAATCCGCAAAAGCTGAAAGAAAAATAATTCCTGTTTACCGAAAAACAATTCGGGTGCTCTGGTTTTCTTCTCGAAAGTAAATGCGAAATATAGCGTTAATTGCCTCGGACAATCTAACGATTTTTGTTCGATTTAATCAAAAACTTTTTGGGTTTTAGTCAAACATCGCCTAAAATAGCTTGAAACTGTCTTCCTGACGTATCAGAAGCACAAATGAACCTAACGAATCACCTAAAATTCACTGGATTTAAGCAATCGCCTCTGAAGATTTTTCGCTTCGTCAAACTTGCAACTTCGCCAAATGAACTCCGTGATACTTAAAAAACCATTGTTGTTACCAAAACATCACCGATGTTGGGGTAGAATCTATCCTTAGGTTGAGAAACACTCTCACGCTGCTGAAACATTGAGAAAGATTTCCGAGCCGGAGTCGATGTTCTGAGGAACTGGCTCAGGAAAGCCGAGCTCAGCTCAATGGAGTTCATTAAAGATTGAGAATCTGCTGCTTCTGCGGTCTGAAGTCGAATAAATTGAGAATCTATTCAAAAACATCAGAAAAGCGTTCCAGCCCTTGATCTAAAGGCTGCGAAGAAAGGAAAATGATGAACACCTTGACTCGGGAGAAGGAGGCGTTGGTTCACCTCTTCAACTAGCTGGGATCAACCAGGAATCACTGGAGGCCGACCAGAAAAAAATTACTCCTTCTGGACAACGCGGGGTGTGTGCTTCAATCGGTATTTTATAGCTCTTTTCCCACAAAACCCATATAATGGCTCATAACAATTCAAGCAAATATTTGAATAGTCTGAAACATGCACGGAACTTTATAGCTTCAATTTTTTGCCAACCAAATGCCAACTACACTTTGAGGAGTTTAAGCAGCTGTTGATTCCCCATCAATTTCCACAAAGCCGCGAATTAAATTCGAACAAAACCCGGGTGTGTATTCAACAATTAAACACTAACAATGCTTTAATTAAGCCAGATTGTTCCAAGCATGTACCGAATGAGGCGTGAATTGGAACTTTAATTAAAACAGGTGCCACTTCGCCATTGTGCCAGTGTATAATTGCTATGAAGAATATTGGAAAATTGAAATCTTCTCCTGCAAGGAAAAAGTGGTGGCCAATTGTTGTGCAATTTGCTTGATGAAAATAATCATAGCGATTTAACTAAATATTATTAACAGTTGCCAGTTTTCTCCATTCGGTGTTGTCATGAGCGTTTATGTAAAAATGCAGTGCGGGCAAAGGAAACACTAAAATCCTGTAGATTTAAAGGATCTTGAGTACCTACGTAAATTGAAACAGCGCTTTAGTGCTACCCTCGTAATGGCCAATAAGACGTTTCTAATTTAAAACCGGAAATTACAGGAATAAACGCTCGCATACGCTCGCATAAGTCTTTATGAATGGATTCGTCACCATTGTAAAATTGTTTAATGATTTTATTTCAGTTTTAAGCAGGGAGTTATGGCGAAATGTGCACATTAAATGTTTCAGAGAAGAAGATTTTTGTGTGTGAACAATGAGTTGGAGGCACTCGAGGCACAGCCGAAAGCTACGTTAAAGTTATATTTTTCCGAGAGGATGAAAGACTGTTATTTTGGCTACTAGAAAAATGCAATTTTAACGTTGCTCTCAGCTGTGCCTCCGGTGTACATTTTTTCCCCTAGATTAAAGCTTTTACCTGGAAAACGAGCTGTTGCCTTATATGCAAACGGGAAAGTCTCAGTAAAAGTCATCGTTTCCCTAATAAGCTATTTACTATAAATATCGTTTACAACACGCGAACACTCCTGCAAAAAAGCATCACAAGGATTTAAAAAATTCCATATTCCACAGCATGTCGACATATAGCGTTGGCCTGTTCTGTGAAGGGTTTTCCATTGCAGATTTCCAACATTTGCCTCCGAAAAGAGTCTATGCGAATATCGCGGGGCATGTTTTGGTTGTACATGTTCACAACTTCATCTCTGTTCATCAGTTTCTTCACCCAACCGATAATCCCTGAAAAATGTTACACTTATTCACTATCAAACAATTTTTAACTGAAATGATTTCTCCTATCGAGACTAATGCGGGCAAATTTACAGCTTTAGTGCAAGGAACGGACTTAATCGGGATACGTACCAAAAGCGATGCCGATCACTGAATATTTTTTCCACTCGCTCTTCAAAGCTTCGTAAGGATAAATCTCCTTTGGGTTGGCTCCAAGCTCCAAAACGAACGACGCGAAAGTATTGTAATATAAATCCAAATAGTAGTCCAGTTTATCCATATCAGCCTTCGATGCCCCCGAGTAGAAAATGTAGGAAAGATCATGCACTGGCGTGCTGATGTAAGCCAATTGAAAGTCGATCATCTTGATGTGTTCCAGGTCTCCGGATTTCTAAAATTGCAACAGAGGTTGGAAACGTTTTGAAATGTTTAAAGCTTTTGAAATAATGAAATGAAACTGAGCTTTCCATTCAAGAACGTAGCTGACATCGGTTCTCTCACTTGCTCACATAGGATTCTGTGGGCGATGCAAGGTAAACAACCAGTTGCTATGTGCCAACTTGCTACTTGGGCGGCTTAAATTATTAGAGTTTTTTTGCGGGAGAAACTTGGGAAAAATAAATCGCTAACTCAAAAAAAAACATACCGAATATTTGAACATCAAATTATTCATTGAGCAATTTCCATGTATCAAACATGCATAGTCTCCATCGTAGGCACGACCTGTAGCGGCAACCTCTCGAATATTTGAAACATCCCTCAATTTTTTGATGATCTCCGCATCAGCAGCAGCGTTGAAGCTGTTAACTGCAGCTGAATATGCAGTTGCGATCGGTTGCGCCAACTCCTTTCCATTCAGCAATTTGACAATGTCCACCAGCTCGTTGGCCATCTGTTGAAACCGGTCTGGATATTCGTGCTTGTAGACAAACGACAACGCATGGAATCTGGCATATGTTTTGAAAATCGTTTCTAAATGTTCAGGTGTCAAGCATTCGTTTCCGTGGTACAGCTTGTAGCCGGCGATGCTAAGATTTTCTAGGACAATGAATTCTTTGTTGGCACTCGAATGACCGCCCAAGTAGTTCGGTAGATTCGTAATAGGGTCTTTCACTTCTTTTTGCTTTTGGAACTTGTTCAACTCGTCGAAGATTTGCGAGTACAGGTAGACTTCGTTTCTATAGATTTCCTCATAGCTTTTGATAAAGCTGAACGCTGGAACCACTTTAATGACAATATGAGTGACCTCTCCGCTGTCTTTATTGGTCAATGTGCCAGTGAAAAACTCCGAAAGGAGTCGCGTCGTTATTGTTCCATTGCGATCAATTTGCAGGGTGTAATGCTGATACTCTGATCGTAAGGACGGCAAAATATTACATAGGCGACGATACACCGATTCGTTCTCCGACATCTTTTCAATTTTCACTACACGCGAATTCACATCACCAACTAACTGCGACAGATTTTACTTATTTTACTCGAAAATCGACCGAGTGGGGAACATAATCAAATGTTTAATTAGCGTTTATCGTCGAGCCATGATAGATACAGAACCGATAAGGTGAAATCGTGAAACAATGTGATTATCAGCGAAAACAACACTTAAAAATGGTTAGTCAATGAAAGTATGGAAAAATGTTTTGATTTGCTAGATGGATCATGTTTTGCTGTTCTCTCTTGTGCCGCTAGCACTAAAGACGCCAATCTTGAATCGCCCTGTTTGGAAAAACATTTGACAATATTTCGCAACTTTTGAACAATTCCTGGAACTCTGCAATGAATAATAATCTATTCGTGTACCGAATTAAAGTTGGAACTTGGCGCAAAACGTGTGTCAAGCTAAGATAAGCTATTAATATATTTGCTATTAACTTTAGTAATCTTTTTAATCAAACGTGACGGTTCTACCAAAAGTGAATAAAACTGAAATACTATTTAGTAGGTAACTAACAAATCTTGAGATTTCTTGTGTGGAAAATTTCAAATAAAGAAAAAAATACACCTTTCCTCATCAATTTCACGTTTAAACTGCTACTTCATTTTCCATCCTCAATAAAGCAGTGATTTTTGGCTTGAATGCGCCAAATCTCCCAAATAAACAAGCATGTCCACATTGATCATAATCGATCATGGTCTTCGGCAGCCAAAAGTAACAATAGTCATATTTGTAGTGCCATTCTTTTACAGTTATCGGTTCATAACATCCGAGTATACCCAAGAGTGAAATTGCCACTGTTGGAAGCCTTTGGGAATGAATTTATCCGCACACAAGAACTTCCTCGTGCTGATCGATTGGTTTTTGGAAAATTTGCAGAAATCTAGAATAGCTTGGAGAGCAAAGAGAATCGGCCACATGTTTCCCCGAAACTATTTGAACGGACTTAAGAAAAGTAAATTAAGCCATTCCTCAGGAAAAAACCGTTGAAAATCGGCAAGTTTACCGCCTATGTTTGCCTCTCAAATTGGGAATCCGTAAAGGATTATAATCAATCGGCAGGCTAAAAACTTTAATGGAATTCTTCATGGGAATGTTCTCAAAAGTGTCGCCGAAAACGGAAAAAATTATAATTGATGGACATCATCAAACTAGATGACCAAAGCGTAATATCTCGTATTTACGCGTGTCGTGGTTTTTACAGTGTCCGCACATTTAATAACAGAATTTTGTGAAATATTTTCTCGGAATCGCTTTTTATATGCGAACTATTTTCGGTTGTGTTTGCCGATTTTTATCAATGTTTAATAGGAATTTAATTAGGTGCAGATATTGCCGTTTCATCACGCTTTCGATACTGATGGGTGAGATCAGAATCGGTTATTTTGCTAATTTTTGGACTTTAAGAAATTTTATTTCAACCTGGAGAGGACAAGGCAAAATGGATGAAGGAGAAAACCGCAGCACTTGAACTCTGGAAAAAGAGTACATGCTTTCTTGGTTGTGTCATCAGCAAGCACCACCAGCATCGGTTTTGAATCAGTTCATTCTCATCAACATCAGCAGGAAAGCGCCTGCTAATTTTTTGCATCAATGCGACCTAAAATTTAGTTTCATCCCCTCGATGAAAGTCATTTGAAGTTATTTAGTAATCATTGATTCGGTGTGGTTAACATCAAGTGAAATCAGTCGCTTATATAAAGAAACCCTGCCTAAACGAGGATAGGGCGACTATAATAATTTCCTTTGATCAACTCTACATACCTAAGTATTCTTTTCAATTCATTGACATAAACCGTTCAGCTCCCAATTTCATTTCGCAGGAATTCTTATAAAATCACTCGGATAACTTTTAAAGAGCTTCCGGCCAACCGGCCGGGAACGTTTTTGATAGAGTCTCAGTTGGAGATTTGTGCCAGTGGAAATATGCCATGTTAAAAGTTCTCTTGAGAAGTTCTAATTTGCCTTTGGCATTGGGCGAATTTTCTATTAAAGCTGAGGCATAATAAGAGTGAATTTCGTATTAGTGATATTTGGAAATTTGTTCCAAAAAAACAAGTTTGATGACTGAAAAGATGGACTATTATTATTGTAGTATTGGTCTTATTGTATGTGGTATTACAAAAAAAACGCAAGATTTTTAACGATTCGAAAACCTCGGATTTTTCCAAAGAGAAGAAAACAACTTCAGATTATTTTGTTGTTGTGTTAATTCAATTACGACTTCTGTAAAAGTGAGACTGGGCAAACATGCTCTCGTTGCAAGACCAAGTTCTTTTCAAAACTCTTTGCATGTTGGCTGTACATTTTTTTCGCTATTATTGAGTGATTTATTTGCTCTGTAATTGCTGCTTGGGGGCATTTTTTCGAATATTTTCTCTTTTTGAAAGCAGTCTATCTATACATTCAACGGTACCTATATCTTTAGCGCCGTGTGGTTCCAATGGTCCTTTGACAGGAAACAGACAGCTACTGTTAAGGAATAAAGGCCCCAAAATGTCCTTGGAAAGGCATTCTCTTATGTGATCTTCAATGCTTTTTGTATGAAATGCGACAGATAAATCATTCAACCATGCAGGAAAGTACAGAGTGCCTACTTGGGGCTTTAATGAACTTGAAAAAATTCAAGTTCAACACAGACACATTTCAGAACAGCCTGCTGACCATCCCAGCTTTCCACAGCCGAATAATGCATGTCATAACATCTAATTAGTACGTACCATGATGGTATCAGGCTAATATGCGTTCGACGTTGCAGATTATTCGCTCGCCTTTCCGCTGCATTTTTGCTACAAATTATTATCGGGCATAATCTACCATGAATTTTCTTATAGCTCGTGACCAAATAAATAGTTTTAAGGTCGGGCCTCAGTTTGAAGCACCTCCCATGGAAGGTGATTGTTCCCTCCCATGCATAACACTGGGCTAACTTACCATGAAGAGAAGTGTTATGGTTTTTACCCAGCTGTAGTACAGAACACTGAAAATTTATTTTAATCAATGTTGCAATTTACAGCAGGATTTTTGCTGGCGGATTTTACTTGGGGAGGTTGGAAAAATGTGCCAAATGAATATTGCAAAATTGGACTTATTGACAAAGCTCTCGGCTTCAATTAAAACAATTTCGGTTGGAGGCGGTGGGTCTCAAGTGTTTTTTACTATCGCATTTTTTGTGGATTTTGCGACAGATAAGGGGAAGTGTAGCTTCATTAGTCAGACTAAAGTACAATTTAATACCTAAGGTTCCATTCAAACACAGTGTCAGAAATGTTACCAGATAGAGCCGAACAGCGGTTTTTCACCAAAACCCGATAAAGTTCTGGAAAGGTTTCAACTCACTCACAAAGTTTTTTGTTTTGCTGCTACTGGATTTTATTTAACTAGAAGTCGCTGTATTAAATTTACAAAAGTCAGTTTGGATTCAAAAGAATGATTGCTTGAACTGCGTGCGTTTTCGCGCTTAGAGCCGACGCGTCGTGAAAACGAAAACAAAATTTCAACGCTCAATCGATTCAAGTTCAGAAATTTATTTCGACTGCATTGAAGCCCGCAAAATGCGCCATTAAGCCCCATAAAATTTCGATGCTAAATCGGTCATTTGCTCCCTAATTATCAGGGTTTTTCCCATTTTTGCTGCAAAAAAATAACTTTTAGGGCCAAATTCAATTGAGCTTAGTTACTAGTTCTGATTTATTTTCCTGACTGCGTGTACTTGTGATGATATTCTTATTTGTCTCTGCACTCTAGACAAATTGAAGGTTTCAAGAAGGCAAAGACCTAAAAGAACGTTGATTTTTACCGATCATGAGTTTATGTAAATTTTAAATCTGATGATGACGCTGTTGTCTCGCCGAAACGTAATTAAATAAACGACATTAAAATCAATTTTTACTTCACACTTTGACTGAGACCCAGGAAAGATAAGAATAGCATAACTTAGTTACTAGGCCAAACTTTAACCTTATGAGCCTTACGAGCCCGTTTCTGGTTTTTAGAGGCCGAAAACTGTTCCCTCGGAGTATGATTCAGGGCTGCACCCTCATTTTTCCGATCAGACATTTAAAATAAATTACAACTTTCCAACGCTCTTCATTGGAATCACAATAGAATCGGCGCGGCTCTTAAATAAACCCCTAACCAAACCGGCTGGTGAGCATAGGAAATATCCATAGCGAAGCCTTAACATAGCTCGAATAATTTATTTCACCCCTAATTCCCTACTGCCCCCTATTAACACATCAAATAAATGTTCTTTTCACTTCGCGGACAAGCACCGCCATTTTACTTCGCCCCCACTACCAGCTCCCACTGGCTGGACTACAGTTTGGTACTTCCCAGGTGCTAAAGTCTTTCTACCTCTCCCATAAAGTCGGCCCCTAAAATATGCTTCCAACCAATGGGGTCGAGTTACGCCACTACCAGATGGTGATTTCTCAACTTTGCCTTTCTTAACGTCGAACTTTGAAGAACGAGACTTTAGTATTAGTTAGTGGTCGAGCTAGGGAAACGTTGTGTCCGGTCCAGTCTTCAGGGTTGCGAAGCGTTCGCGTAAAGTGTCGAACAAGTTGATTTTGTGCTTGTTTAGTGCCGATATTGTGGCAGTTGTCTGAAAATGGATGTGCGATCGTTCATCGGAACTTATCAATTTCAAGGTGGGTTGCAGGATTTGGCAAAAAAACCGTTCACGTATTGTGCCTCATCAGTGAGTGTGTTCCATTTAAGGAAGACAGTACATTTATAAAAATATGCGGTCCTTTTTCTCAGAAAATTAGCTTGCGAACTGCAGTTAGCGTCGGAAACTGGTGGGTTGCTCGGGTTTTCAGACCGTCGGGCAACAGACCGTTTTGCGGGTTTTGGCAAGTTTGCGAAGCGCAAGACGACGGCTAAGAAACCGAAAGAGCACCAGTTCCGAAGCTCAATGTTGTTGAGTAAATTGATGTGCGGTCAACATTCAAACTTTTGATTTGCATGTGCAAATCCCAAACCACCCAAGACCAAGAAACCATCCGGTCCAAAGATTTGTAAAACTTGTCACAGGTCATCTGAATTTATCTTTATCTACTCTACTTGGAAATGCCTTATTTCTCATGCTTTTAGCTCACCTTTTCCTATTTATTGCCTGTGATACCTGCAAACGGAAAAGAGCCCAACTTTCGCCATAGTTGAGGCAAATTTCGCATCAGTCTGTAAAACCATTAACATTTTAGCACCTTTTAACTTGCTGGACCTTTAGCAGCCACTTTAGCCTATCGAGCTTCTGAATGCCATAGACAAATGTTTTTTTTATTATAGGGCAAGGCCGTATGAACCAACTGGGTGGCGTGTTCATAAACGGACGTCCTCTGCCCAACCACGTCCGATTGCAAATCGTTGAATTGGCAGCATCCGGAGTACGACCATGCGTGATTTCCAGAGAACTGCGAGTTTCGCATGGATGCGTTTCGAAGATCTTGAATAGGTATCAGGAAACCGGCAGTATCCGGCCAGGAGTTATCGGCGGCTCGAAACCCAAAGTGGCCAGCAAAGAAATTGAGAATCGCATCGAGGAGATGATTAAGGCGCAACCGGATATTTTCTCTTGGCAGATCAGGGAGGCACTATTGAAGGTAATTTTTAGCATGAAGATTTCATTAAGCGTTCCAATCATCTGTTGGTTCCACACCAGCTCCCAAACGAAACAAATCAAAACAACATAACAACGAAAAAATTCGTGAAATAATGATCGTAGCTAAATGCTACGACTCGAAAATTCTTCTTCTTGCACGTCTTCAAACATTTTCAGAGCTAAGGCACACACGTCTATTCGCATATTTTTTAACTCCTGCAGATTGAGATACACAAAATAATTTATCGGGAATAAGTCTGGCGATCTGCGAATTTTCATCTAGATTGCACATATTTTGCGTGTTTGAGCAAAACTCATTTCGCCCACCGAAGTCATCTTCAAATAACTGTTGCATTGAAACCATTTCTAGAGATGCGATTTGTTCTTTTGAGCTATTCGGAGCAACAGATTTCCGCATGTGCATTTTCTTCCAACGGAAGTAAAACGGAACAAGTTCATTTACATCTCGCCCAGAATGTCCAGATTTAGGCAAATCTCAAAAAGTCTATAAATTTGCGACCTTCGGACTATCGGAGGATTTCACTATCATGATCACGGTTCGCGTTGGATTCAGAAGAAATAGACAGAAATGAACGAGGAACATAGACTTTGTTGTTGTCGGGGTAGTTTGGGTTAGTGGCGTTTCGCTGGCAAGCATTGCCATCATCTTCAGAGATAATTCACTCTTGGGGGCAAACACTCTGATTCCCACCAAACTGAGATTTCCAATCAGGAACGCGGTTGTTATCGGATCTCGCACTCGCACACATATAATTGTAAGAGAGATGCAAAATGGACAGCGCGTTGCTGTGTTCCGGTTTGATACCTTCACGGCTCGAAACATCGGAGTTTTGAGCCGCACAAAGTGCCAAAAAATAATATATTTTCAAGAAGATCCTCGGTTATTCACACACAGATGATTTTGAATTTTTTGGTGTGCAGTAAGGACATTCATTATTAATTAGGAAACTTAAAAAACTTCCAATATCGCGATTCTTCTGGCTTAGACATCCCTTCACTCACCCTCTATGAGGCCTATTGTCGGGTACTCTTTCACAATGTCTTAAGATGTCTCGGTGACAAATTTGGATTTTGCGAATGTTTTGTCGGAAGTGCTGATTAGTCGCGAGCGAGCCTTCACGTGAATATTCCTGATCTTTTGCGTAGTCGCCCATTACATGGGCAAATGCATGGGCGGCACGTGATGAAAGGCGTCCGTCGCCCTGGGTCACGCGCCGCCCTCAAATTAGCCCATACCGCAGCGCACCTGCGATGGTACCACCGGAGGCGACCGGGAACCGATAAAATCGCCGATGACAATGACGATGTCGAAATGATGAATTTTATTACGGATTTTTACTTGGCTTACTTAGAGGCTCCGAAGGTAAAATGTCGGTTTTATTGTGATGAGCCAATAGAAGGGCGTTTAGGAGCCCGTCAGTCACCGACTTTTGTCCTGAGGGGGTTCGGTCATTTTATTTCTTTTAAATTTGATATTGTCTGTTCACGAATTGAATTTCCGTGAATTATAAAAGAATGCATTTTGCAACCACTAGGATTTATCTAGAATCAGAGCAGAAGGCAAGCAAACGGTAACAACCAAATGGATGACAAGTTTACTGATCTGGTTGCTTGAGGTTCATGTTAGGTAAAGGAAAATTAGAGTTGGAAATAAATGCGGACTTCACGTTGTTCACGTAGACGCCTAAATGGCAGAATGCTGGAGATATCTTGGTACCAAATACCGGTAATTTGGAGAGCAATTTCGCATTGTTACGCGTCCGAGAACCGTGTCATGCGGCCACCTCCCATGCTCATTTTGAATGCAGAGTGGCCAAAAGATTATATTTACTGTTCAGCTAAAAGGTGCATTTTTCTTCATTTTATGCTTGCTAATTTTTTTTGCCGCAGCTGTAGTGTTGGTGAATAATTCACAATGTTCTATTGATCAGTTCGGATCAGGATCAGATTGGCATGAAATTGTCCAGACTCGGAGGTACCGTGAAGTAGTACAAAACGAAAAATATTCAGACCACAAAAGTTTTATTATTTCCTGGCGTTATAAGTTTTATTAACGTTTGTTTTACCATGATTTTTATATTGCTGTATTTTTTGCAGGAAGGTGTCACTGATCCTCCAAGTACAGCGGCAATCAATAAAATAGTGCGAGGTGGCAACAAAAGCGATCAAGACCCAGAAGGGAAGAAAAACCACACAATCGATGGCATTCTTAAAAGTAAGTCGAAATTAATGTAAACCCCAATACTCGCGTTATTCATGAAGTTAGTTAGTTCTTAACTTCAATAGGCGATGAGTGAAGTGAGAGGCACTCAAAATTTTGTCAAAAACTAATCAAGCAGTTAATGATCGAACTCAAAAGCGCCGAAATTAATCAATAAAAAGCCACGTTAAAGTGGCGGCGTGAGGACCACAAAAGCAATCAAATCTGTTAATTGGCGCGATATTAGGGAACCCCATAAACGCGTGTGAAGTAAACCATCAATTTCTCCTGGAATGGGCGGTTTTATGTTTCTGATTTTGGACAACAAACAGCTCAATTCGTTGGGGTTTTGTATGGCACAAAAACCGTTTTTTTAGTTCAGTTGCATGTGAAATTTTTCTGCTTCATTTGACTGAAAAATCGATCCAGAAACTTCTTGGTCTGCCATCTTTTCAATTATTTTGGCACAGACTTCCTCACAAAAACGCCCAAACACTGAACATTGCATTTTTCATCAGTTTACCCTTTAGCTGCGTGATTTAAGTGCATCATAATCTATCAATCAAGCGCCAGAATTTGCAGAATCCGCACGATTTGCTCCTCGGCTTTGTATAATTATTTCTCATTTTAATATTACCTCCATTATAGTTAAATTAGATAAATAAGAGAGTGGTGTATATAGAAAACCGAGGAAACAAAAAGTTGAAAATACAGATTAACATCACTTAAGTATCTTCAATTAATCAGTTCGCCGCAGGCTTGCAAAAACGAATCAGCATCCGGTTCAGATGCAACAATACGAAGCAGCTCCAGTTCCATCAATGCCAAAGCAGAAATTGAGCGCTACTCAAATTTATTAACTGGCCAATGCGGTTTGACAAATTATTTTTGAATCGCAAAGTGCGTAATTTTTCTTTAATGACGGGCAAAAATAACTCAGAATAAGGAGCGACCTGTGTGGCCAAAGGTGTATCTGTCTAATCGGCCCCCAGGGGGGCACTGCAGTGCCTTTCTTGATTAATGTTGCAGGAAGGCAGATGAATTATGTGCATTTAATAACTCCAGAAGAAAAGAACTGGCTGCTTTGCTGATATTTATTAAGTGTGAATTGAACGAGGCTTTGGGACTTTTCATTCACGCTCTATTCGGTTCTTCCTTCTTCCCTCGCATTTGCCTATTTTTTTGCTGTTGTTTCCCGGATGGAAAAAAACGCGATTTTTCCACCCAGCACGCCTCTTTTGGTCATTGCCATAAATATATCTGGATTGAGTCATCAGTTAATTAATTCTGATTGGATTTTAAATCTAATTACCCTCTAAATTAGGCTCTATTGAATGCCACGGCGAAAACAAGCTAAAGTAACGAAGAAACCTTTTAGAATCAGTAAATATAAAAAATTCTCTAGACCCCAAATTCTCTCCAAGAGCTATCGATTACAATAGTTGAAGTATCGACGTGTTATTTAAGCGAAAATATTAGATTTGTTGCACAGTTTTGGCTACAAAAATTCCTACAAATATGCGTTTTTTTATCGGGAATTTGAGCCAAAAGTTAGTAAAGTTTTGGAAAGAAATCGTTGAAATTCAACAAGTTAATCAGCAACATCAACATTAAATTACAGTTCAGAATTACGTTCAGTTAAAAAAATCAAAATCAGATTTCAAGTTTTGAGATTTCTTCTTCTAACTACTTTAGCCTGAAATTTCGCTCACAGCCTGTCAAATAAAATCCATATCGTCTGTAAAACTAGAAAGAAATTGTTTTTGATATTTTTGTGGGCCAAAACTGGGATCCCGTAGTTTTCACTTTGGAACTATTTAAAAAAAAATGCAAAATGGCTACTTTTTGCCCTTTTAGATACGCTCGTTTCCACCCAACTAGCGTTACTTTTCTGGTAGAGAATTTTTTCCTCTCAATTTACTTGGAACTGTGCTCTTTTCTGTTAAATTCAACATCTTCTTTCGCCTGCAATTTCATTAAACTCGGCGTAGTCTTCCACAGTAAAAATAGTTGTTCATCAAATGGCAATTTCAATGTTTCTCTGCTTCGGTTCAAAAATCATCTCTTTCGCATAAGCATGGTCCCTTCCCTTTGCAGGCAATAATCAGAATAGAATATTCCAGCAAACATCCGGAAATAAATCCTATATATTCGCATGTGAAAATGTGCCCAAATGTGTCTCCAAATCGATGCCTAAAATGCTTCATGTTAAATCCAATATTATACAATCTGGTGTCAATCGCAGCCGAAATCCGATTAGGAGCCGACAATCCCATGTAAAAAGAGCATTTTAAATGGAACAAAGCCGGAAGAAGTCAGTTTTCGGTTCAGTCGGGAGCTTTAAACCATGCAAGTTTGGTGGCCCCCATGGAAGTTAGAATTTTATTGAAATGTATTCATTTTTTTAATAGAATGCGTTCATCGGACAATGATTTACTGCCGTTTAGTCCCTTTATGTTTATTCCATATTTATGGCTTGACTTTTCATCAATAATTTAACTTTTCTGTGAAAGTCTCCACTTGACAACAAACAGAGAGGTATAGATGATTCTCAAATCGATTGAAATAGGCTGAAAGTTCAGCTGAAAAGAAGCGAGCGGAACTCCGTTTTCCACGAATTCTTCTCAGTTTCTTTGAATACAAGCCGGCTTCTCTAACACTTCTCGACATTAAAAGAAGTCGACAATTGTTAACAATTTGTACATCACTTCCAACTGTACAATAGCTGAATAATAAACCCGGGAGAGAAGTCACTATCATTTTCACATGGAACCTGACCATAAATCTGTTTGTCGGCAAAGCCGAAAAAGGCCGGATCGTGGTAATATTTTGGCTGATGTGACACAATCACAATGTATCTTTGATAATTTGGATTTAAGATGAAAGTCTTGATTTATTTGGGGCTTTTTGGACCAAAGTGCCGACGGAAGTATATTTTTCAGGATGGGCCCATACGTTTCAACACCGCCTATAGCGGTTTTTTTTTAATATGGAAAAACCCTTTGACGCCATTCTGATGCTCAGCTCTTCACTTGAAAAAAATAATTGCTTATTATGAGTAAATCCTGCTTAAGAGCCCAGACGTTCTGTCTAGTCTGTCGGATTTCTTTGCTGGAATTAAAAACAGGTTCTTTCTGAACCCATAAAGCATTAAAAGTTTTACTGTTGGTCACAACAGTTGGTCACGCTCGCCAGGTAAAAAACAAAACTGATTATTAGGTGTTCGAATGAGGGCCGTCTAATGCCTAATAAATTTTAATGTGCTCCTTTAAAGGGGCCACTTTGATTCACTGTTTAGGATTTCGATTGCGGTTTTTTCAGTGGAAGCCTCATTAATTTATCGGAGGAAAATCGGATGAGGTTTTGCTTATGAAAGCCTAAAAACCAGTTCACGGTTGTTTTACAAAAGAGCTGAGGGTGCTTGGAAAATAATATTGGGTATAGCCTGTTAAAGCAACCAAGAATTAGGGAAATTTGTCTTTTTTGTTGATGATTTGACGCTCGGTTTCAAGGAGTCATCAAGTTTGGACTCATGTTATTGAATTTTACTTACAGTTCGGCTCTCATAAAGAGATCATCCCGCTGATAAAAATTTATTTCTTTTTATGTAGTTAGCAATATAAATTCCCGAAATTCTATGCCACTTTGCAAATGCCGTTAGTTAGGACGCGCATATTCGAAATATCCACAGTGAAGACACAAAATGCCTGAAATTCGGAAGCAAGTTAGGAAATTGGACCCGAGTCCCCAGATTTTGCCCCGCAATAAATACACATTAATATCTACTGAAAATACCTGTTTGACTAATAAAACTAATTGGAAGTCTTAAAGGAATTCAATGGGAAATCGGGAGCAGGAACTAGAAAATTTTATCAGCTTTCGTTTGCCAATTTGCCTCAATTACAGCTTAAATGTTCCCAAAAACATACAAATTCTTCGTGAGCATCAGAATACATAATTGCAGCAGAAATAAAATTAACAGAAGTAAATTGCAGACGTTAAATCTCCAGAATTATACGACTTCTAATCTTTACGATCCAGAGAACCGCAAAGGCGAGCGTTTTCCTGAAATGCCTGCGCTGTATTTGAGGCCGGCATAAACGAAGAGCGATTAGGAAGGAAAGCGAAATTATGAAAACAATAGACGTAATTTGAAAGTTTTCCTAATCCCCATTATTCACATCTATCTTTTGTTCTCTCAACCATCACTTACCTCGAAAGCAAAATCATTTGTACATATTTTTATACGATTTTTGAGCACAAAGTTCAAGCTATTTAATGGTACATTATTGGAATAGTGCTTTTTGAGTTTGCTCACAACAGAAGCTGCTGTAAACTGAAATCCTCCCATTTGCATTTGCTACCAAAGCAAATGTATAAGTTTCTGTTGTGAAAACCTTTCTGGTTTCAAAATAATGAAGCATTCAAAGTTTTTTTTGAATGAAATGAGCACTTGAGCAGCGATAAGCGTGACTTAAACACCACCAGCAGTCGTTTCGATGAAAGAGCAGTTTCCATCCTCAGTGCATGATGAATGGAAGCAATAACGGATTACAGCAGAGGCGCGTATTAAATTACGCAAAAGCCACAAGGTTGTTGTCACCTGAAACCATGTAAGGTGTTCGTGCATAAATCTCAAAATCTCAGAGGGTGGGCTTTAGGCGGTGAGACCGCCAAAGGGACCGAATCTGCGGGATACATAAAGCGGCCATTGTGCGCCCAAAACGGTCAAAAAAGCCGCTGGATCAGGGTGGAATGTAATTTAGAAATATTGATATTAAATTGGAGGAGAATTTCGAAATTTATCGCCAAGAAATTTGCTCCGATGCCACATATTTCAGGCCACAGATTTCAGTTTCAAGTGCTAAACGGCCAAATTTTCCCTAACTTTGAAACTGGATATATTCTGATTCCTGCTAGCGACTTTATTTCTGCTTCAAGTCTCATTGAGCCCAATTTTTGCTCTGTAAGCCCCCGGATTTGCAGATATTTTGCACTTCAGATAAAGTTTATACAGGGTTTGAGTTGAAGCGGAGCTTCATTCAAAAAAGCTACAATCCTAAAAAATCGGTATGCTCCCAGTTGATCAAAAACATTTTTTTATGGATTTAAATGCAAATGACAACGTATAAATTTGGGTTTTCTAGAATGCAATCTGTTGCTGATCTAAGTAATTTTTGCGTTGTCTTATACTAATGATGCTTTTTTATGGCATTTAGCATATGGTTTGCTTTACGGCTTTTTAACGAATTATCGATGTTAGAGTATATTTTTATGTGCTTTTTAATTCTGATCAACTTTTTCGATATCGGCTATTAAAAAACCTGATTTGCTCTTAAACAAACTTCAGGTTTTTTTGAGAAACATTTTACCTATGCAGCTGAGAAAAAATTACATCTGTTCGATGCATTCGACGTTTGAGACCATGCAGAACTTTTTTTAGAGAACAACTAGTCGCCTTCAAATACAAAATCAATTGTAAAGCAGTTTCCAACGGAAATCAGTTTTCTGCATGACTTCAACTAAACAAAACATACTGTAGACTCACAGAAACCCTGCCAAAAGATTTCAAGACGTTATCTCCCTTTTGGGCTTCAAAAATCTGAAAAATAGCAAAGCAAAGAAAGGCTAAAGACGTTTTAAACCAAGCATGCAATTGAGAAACTATTCGTTTCACCCGTTTGTGAAATTGCTTGAAATTTGAACACCCTGTAGCTCGATCTGGAGCTGCATTTTCCGAAACTTTACACTCTGTTTTCTTATCTTGCAGTAATTTTAAATTAATTTTTAGCTTCAAAAATCGGTTCAAGAGAAAAATGTTATCACCACAACATCAAAATGTAATTTTTTAGGGTCATCTTGTATAGAATGGAAGAAAAAGACAGAAAATTCAAAAACTGTTTAGAGATATGAAGTGGCGATTTTAGTGGGTTTGGTCTTGAAGTGCAAAAACTGTTTTTTTGGTCCACTAAGCGCATGCCAAACTTTGCCTTGTGAGAAATTCATCAAATATGCGTAATTTCAGCAAAAACACAGACTGACAGAAAAAGAATTGGAGCAAATAATGCTTAAAACAGAAATCAAATAATTTGCAGTAGTAAAATTTTTCAGTTTGGACTAATTTGGTATTTGTGCTTTCTGGCCTTGTTTTAGGGATTTTTAGGCAATCTTACTGCCCTTAACTCAGCATGTTTTTAACCTCGTTAAGATTACAATGAAGGTAATAAATCAATAGAGAACCTAAACAGTTTCCTCCTGAACAATCTGGAAGAGTTTAACCCTTATGAAACAATAGGCTTTCGATCCGGGCAAAAATCCATTGTCTATCGCACAAGCCTCAGACAACAAACCTTTAGTTTTAGGCCATTTCAGTTCTGTTTAAGCATTGACAACCGTTCCAGGCAAATATTTAATTAACAAGTTTGACCCGAACGAGCTGAATAGGCGACTAATTACTCTGGCTTCCCGTGAAGACTGGAAGCGGTTTGCATTTGAGCTTTTCTATCAGATGCAAAACACTTAGTTCTACTAAGCGGGGGATGGGCGAACGCCCATTAGTTGGGGCCCAGATTTTTAATTACATCCAAAAGGCCTTTGGAAGTTAATTGGATTAGAGCGTAGGTTGAAACTGGTGAGTTTTCCGGGGTTTAAGCCGTGGGGGAAAATAGTCCGGGACTGGCGTTTTACAAGCACGAGTTGCTGTTGTTTGTGAAAAGTTGACGGGAGTTATCGGGGTTGATTCATTTAAAGGCCAAAAATTCAGTTTTTCTGGACTTTAATCTGTGAAATCTAGCCAGTGTCCGACGGCCTAAAAGCTTCCTTATTGTTCTTAATCGCTCAGTCACTTGAGGAGTTTGCTGAAGATTTGCTCGGCCGAAAAAAAGGCTTTTCTTAAGAAGAGGGACGTAATTAAATTTCATCCCGACTGGCCGGTTTTTCAATTTCGGCGGTGGTGAATGCAGAAGATTTTTAAGTAGTCCTGCCCTTGTCGACTCCACCTTCTTTGCTGCACCATTCTTCCTCAAAAGTTTCAATGTCTGCAAAAACCTCCTCAGTAAATCGCTTTCGAATAATCACACCGATTCTGTGTTTTAATCCGCCTAGTTTAGCCGGTGGCAATTGAAATTGGGCAGCTGGACGGTTTGGGGTGGTGTTGAATTGATCGCGGGAACATTAATTTCGCGTGGCTTTTGGAGGCAAGAATCGAAGGGCACTGGGTGGCCCAAAGAAGGGCGCCTTTCAGTCTGCCACTCTGAAGGTGAATGAGCCCGAAACGCCCCCAAAGGCAGCCCCGTATTGAGGCAGCAACAAAACGATGTCAGGAATGCGACAGATCGGCCACTAATTCGAAAGATTAAAGCGGCCGCCGACCGGTCTGGGATTTTGTTTCAGGACATATTAGCCGCCGGTTTGTAGGTGGTTTTTAACACGGCTTCTCTTTGTGGTTTCCATTCAGATTTAGATTTATTTTAATGCCTTTCGAAATTAGCTATTGAACGCGGATTATGGCGCGGCTTTTTCTTCGGCTTTTCAGGGTGTCAATGTGTTGTTTTACGCGGCTGGTGCAGTCCTGTTCACTTGGTTTAACATTT